TTTGTAAAGATGATCTTAAACCACTGAACACTTGTTGATCTTGCTGTACAAGCATTTGTGTGATATTTTCAAACCATCCTTTGAGATATTATTACATTCAGTAGCCTACTGGTCAAAAGTTTTGATTAAGATTTTTTTAATGATTTTGAAGAGAAATCTCTGATATTCTGTAAGGCTACATTTGTGATCAAAATACAGTAAAAACGGTAATACTGTAAAATATTATTACAGTTTAAAATAACTGCTTTCTATTTTAATATGTTTTAAAATGTAATTTATGCCTGTAATGGCAAAGCTGAAATTTCAGCAGTAATTACTCCAGTCAGTGTTACATGATCATTCTAATATGCTGATTTGGGCTCTGTAATAGTTCTTATTATGGTAATTAAAAACCGTTTTAGTCATACTTTTTGTCAGTATTCTCTGAGGAATAGAAAGTTTAATGAATGGCATTTATTTTATTCCTTATTTACTTGTTCTATTTTTTTTTTATTATCTGTGTTTTTTGTTCTGTCACTGTCATTCTGTTACACTGTGGAGCTTCTGTCACGAAAACAAATTCCTCGTATGTGTAAACATACCTGGCAATAAAAACTCATTCTGATTCTGATTCTGATTCTTCTGATTTAAAATAGAAAACTGTTGTAACATTATAAATGTCTTTATTGATACTTTGATCAAATTAGTGTGCCCCTGCTGAATACATTTTTTTATTTATTTATTTATTCTTTTTTAAAATCTTACTTATCCCAAACTTTTGAATGGTAGTGTATCACAATTTCCACAAAAAATATTAAGCAGCAAAAACTGTTTTTCATTGAAAGATGGTAGGTTTTTTAAAGGAAACTATAATGTGCAAGGAACTTTTAGTAAAAGCAGCCCACATAAAGCCTTATATAAAGCAGTGCTTATGAGGATACAGCTGAACAAGAATATGAAGATTGTGAGGCTTAAAGCAATCAAACATTTTCCTCTCTTTCTCAGGTGTCTCTGGTATTTCTCATAAGTGGGTTGGTCATTCTCGGCTACGCCTCATCAATCAGTCGGCACAAGACGTATCATGATGTGGTACGAGAGGTGTGTGGACAGAGGATCGGCCATCTGTGTGAGATTTGCTTTGTTTTCAACCTCTTCATGATCTCGGTGGCCTTTTTGGTGGTTGTGCAGGATCAGCTGGATAAGCGTAAGTTGTGTGTGCTTTGTGTTGTTCCGTATGAGTCATTATGTTTCAGTGTGAGTAACTGTAACAGGTGAATGTGTATATATACACATGACAAAGACCCTTTTGAACATAAGTGTCTGTGTGTTTCAGTGTGTCTGTCTCTGTATGAGACCGTGACGGGAAATACAGAAGGAGAGATGCCATATCACTGGTACACATATCACCGTTTTGCACTATTTGTCATGTGCCTCATTATCATCCTTCCACTCTCTGTACCCAAAGAGATCGGCATCCAGAAATACACCAGGTGTGTTAAAAGCTGACATATATCTGCTACTCCCTAAATATTTTTTTATACCACCTTCTTGCCTTTTTAATTTCTAGTGAAAAGTACTACATATTTCCCTCAATCTCCCATCACTGTCCCACTTTAACCTGCTGTATCCATCATTAACTCTTAATGTTTCTTTGTGTTTAATGCTTTGTGTCCAGTGTATTGGGAACTCTGGCTGCTACATACCTGAGTGTAGCTATTATCGCAAAATATTATCTAAAAGATGAGCACACAGCAGACCTCACACCAGAGCACAGTCAAGGGTGAGTTATATGTAAAGAACATGTTTTCCATAAAGTTGAGTTCATGTATATACACTGTAAAAAATGACAGTGAATTTATTTACGGAATTTTTTTTACAGTGTATTATTCATAAGAGTTTAATATCAGTGGTTTGTTTGGGTTATTTGTAACAGATTAGACTCATGGGCCTCTATGTTCAGTGTGGTCCCTACTATCTGTTTTGGTTTCCAGGTCAGATTCTCTAAAAAATTATTAGATAACAATCAGTATGCAGATATTATTTCTGTGCAGAGATAAAATTATTATTTCTTTAAATCAACGGTGCACTATTTGCAAATTTCTGTGTTGTACTTTTGACCATTGTGATTGCTGAAAGCTCATAAACTGTAATCTTTATTTATATTACAGTGTCATGAAGCTTGTATTGCTACATACAGAAGCATGTAAAACAAAAAGATTACACACTGGGTTTTCATCTCAGTCACTTCTATGATTTTCTGCCTCTCTCACAGGTGAGTCATATTTGTAGAGCTCAATCTATAGTGTTATTATTATAAATATTTTCCTGTAAGTTTTTGAGTTTTAAATAAGAGACTGACACTTTGTTGCAATATGGCAGGTGTGTTTGGTTTTCTTACATTTGGGCGAGAAGTAGCCTCAGATATCCTGATGTCATATCCTGGAAAGCAGCATCATCTCAGTCACTTCTATGATTTTCTGCCTCTCTCACAGGTGAGTCATATTTGTAGAGCTCAATCTATAGTGTTATTATTATAAATATTTTCCTGTAAGTTTTTGAGTTTTAAATAAGAGACTGACACTTTGTTGCAATATGGCAGGTGTGTTTGGTTTTCTTACATTTGGGCGAGAAGTAGCCTCAGATATCCTGATGTCATATCCTGGAGTCCATGTAGTGATGATTATTGCTAGGCTGCTGTTTGGGATTTCGAGCGTCACCATCTATCCTATAATACTGCTGCTGGGAAGGTACCGTAAACCACAAATAAATATGCATATAGCTCCCTACACACACACACTGTGTACACACACTCATGTGTCAATGATTGCGTCTTGTTCACAGGTCAGTGATTCTAACTCAAATATTGCGCTTTTGGGAACGACGGGCCATAATTACATCTGTGTTTGAGAGTCGGTGCCGTCTGATTCTAACAATTCTCTGGATCACTGTGACTCTCCTCATCGCCATCTACATACCAGACATGAGTGAGGTCATCAGCGTAATCGGGGGAATTAGCGCTTTCTTTATATTTATTTTTCCTGGTGAGACACTCAATTAAACAATTACAATCTCACCAGTACACATTAAGCATGCATACATACTCTACCGTTCAAAAGTTTTGGGTTGGTAAGATTTATTCATATTTATGCTCACCAAGGCTGCATTTATTTGATCCAAAATACAGTAAAAACGGTAATATTATGGAATATTAATACAATTAAACACTTTTATTCCTGTGATGGCAAAAGCTATATTTTCAGCATCCGTTAATCTAGTCTTCAGCGTCATATGATCCATCATCTTATATGAAATCATTCTTATATGCTGATTTGGTGCTCAAGAAACATTTCATATTATTATTATTGCAGTTGAAAACAGTTGTGCTGCCTAATGTTATTGTGAAAGCTATGAAACATTTTGTCAGAATTCTTTGATAAATAGAAAGTTTAAAAGTACAGCATTTATTTGAAATAGACATCTTTTGTAACAATGTAAAAGTATTCAATTTGAATTAATTTAACGCATCCTTGCTAAATAAAAGTATTAATTTATTTGGGGGAAAAGGAAGCTTTTGAATGATAGTGTACATACATATACATTCAAACAGACTGTGAGATAATATTGACCAAACTGTTTTTTTTTTGGTAGGGCTGTGTCTCATTTTTGCCATGCAGACAGAGCCTATAAATCACAGGATCAGGTGTGTAACATCTTATGTATGTTTAAAGAGAGCCAAGTCAAGTCATTTTAATTTCCTGACTATTTCCTCTGGTCTTTTATTCTAGCCGTTTTCATATATTTATAGTGTGTCTAAAAATACAGTTTTGAATTACTTTCTCCCTTTTACACACACCTTCTTTAATTGATTTAGTTTGTTCCTTCCAGAGCTCTCTTGACAGGGTGGGGTGTGGTGACGGTCGTTACTGGAGCTTTTATCTTTGGCCAGAGCACATCTATAGCTGTTATGGAGCTGATGCACAAGTTTTAATTTACGTCATGGTCTTCATCATTTGGAATATTATTGTCTTGATAAAATGTGTTTATATATTTGATTGATGAATGATAAACCGTATGATACTTGAAACTGGGGAAGAGTAGCAGCTACATGTTTTAGAAGAAAATATCACTCCACAGTGCCTTATGCTTGTATTGCTGATACTGCTCAGTTTTATATGTTGTGTGTGTTTGTGCGTGTGTGATTAAGAAAATGTGTTGGAGGATTTTTGCTTATATATGTATTATATTGCGTAGGTTTAGACAAGAAAAGTTGGTTTATTTAAATGTGTTATATGGAATGAATATTGAAGTATATGAATACAAATATAAAAAATTACTTTGGAATATTTGCAATAACTTATTCAAATGTATTAACATTTGCTTTAATGTGAGTGCGTATGAAACACTGTTCTTGATTTGGTGTTGTAATGCCAAAAATGAAATTAACCAGGAACATTTTTTAATTGTGCTAATTTGACCATATTAATCTTTTTAGAACATCATTTTTTTATGTGTCTAATGTGGATAGTGAGAGCTGTTGTACTGTAAACAAGAATTCATGCATTCAAAATAGGTTTGGGTCAAGTTCGTAGGACAATAGCAGGGTTAAATAATGCTGGAAAGAAAAGGAATTCAGTGGGTGAGGTTAGAAAACCGATCCCAAACGCATCGGGTCACATGACAAGGAACCGGATTACATGACGTTCTTTTAAAGTTTATATTCATAAAAAAATTGTTTCCACAATTTCTGAAGATCATATGACTCTAAACACTAGTATAATGGCTGCTGAAAAAATCAGCTTGCGGTTGTAAAATGTATTTAGAGAAATGATTTGTTTTAAATTGTAATAATATTTCTCAATGTATTTTTGATCAAATCAGTGCAGCCTTGGTAAGACTTGTTTAAAAAAACATTAAAAACAAGAATCTTACCGACTTCAATCGTTTGACCGTAGTGTAGATTTTGAACAAGAGGGTGGATTTTAGTTTTGAGCGAGCTACTCCTTTAAGAGCACTAGCAAGCAATGGAATGTGGAGGGAAGCACGTTTTGGTGACTGGGAATTTTTGAGCAGTTTTTAAAAAAATATATGTGACAGCATTTGTAACATGATTGTGTTTGTTTCAGGGCTTTCTTCTGGCTGGTGTCTTTGTTGCTGTCCTCTCTTGTGTGGTTCATCACAGTTCAGATCAGCAACAAGAACAGTGCAGCTCAGCAGAGAGGGCTGCTCATCTTCGGGGTTGTGCTCTCTGTGCTGCTTCAGGAGACTTTCAGATATGGTTACTACAGATTGCTGAAGTAAGAATTACCTGTTCATTTTCTGTGTTTGAAAGGAGCCACATAATCAGTAAACCTAAATATAATGGAATATCGTGTTCTTGAGCATTGACTGCATTAATATAACACTCAACAGTGGCAGGGCTGTATTTTATGTGTTAGCTTTGAGGTCATGTGAATGCTAGTTTACACTTGAACCTACACTTCACTTTTAGATAAACACATTTGAAATGTGCTGAATTTTCAGCAGCCATTACTCCAGTCTTTAGTGACACATGATTCTTCAGAAATCATTCTGATATGCTAATTTAGTGCTCAAGAAACATTTATTATTATCATCAGTGTTGAAAACAGTTGTGCTGCTTAAGATTTTTGTGGAAACCGTGATGCATTGTTTTTTTTCAGGATTGTTTGATGATTAGAAATCTCAAAAGAACAGAATTTATTTGAAATAGTAGAGACATTTATAATGTTACAAAGTATTTCTGTCAGTCAAAAGTTTTAATTTCTGTAAAAAAAAAACACAAACTGTTGCGCTGTCTCACCCAATCTTCCTGTTTCAGTAGGAAACACTCAACACAAGACAGAAAACATTATTAAACAATCCCTCTTCAGATTCCATGGGGTCTTTAAATAACTAAAATATCCCGCTGGTGAATCACATTGGCGTTCAGTGTTGGTGTTGTGTTGGAGGGTTGTTGTTAACGTCTGTTATTGTATCTCTCCCAGGAAAGCAAATGAAGGCCTGTTAGCGCTCAGTCAGGAGGACACCATGCCCATCTCCATGCGGCAGCTAGCTTATGGTAAACATCCATCACATGCTTCTTCAAGTAGTCCAATAAACAGCCAGTGTTTAAGTGTGTGCGTCGTTGGTTTGCAGTGTCCGGTCTGGGCTTTGGCTTCATGAGCGGAGCGTTCTCTGTGGTCAACATACTCTCTGATTCCTTGGGACCGGGAACCATCGGTATCCATGGCGACTCTCAGCATTACTTCATATCCTCAGGTAATGAGATGCCAGTTAGTGTTTAAAGCCTGGGAATCATATTGAGTGACTCAAGCATTCAGCATATGCTTTCTCTCCACAGCTTTTATGACACTGGCCATTATCTTGCTGCATATGTTCTGGGGGGTTGTTTTCTTTGAGTCATGTGAGCGACAGAGATGGTGGGCTCTTGGAGCAGTAGTCATCAGTCATCTAGTAGTATCATGTCTGGTAGGTGAACACCACATGAAGTAATGCAGCGGTTCCCAAACTATATATATATACAGTGGGTACGGAAAGTATTCAGACCCCCTTAAATTTTTCACTCTTTGTTAAATTGCAGCCATTTGCTAAAATCATTTAAGTTATTTTTTTTCCTCATTAATGTACACACAGCACCCCATATTGACAGAAAAACACAGAATTGTTGACATTTTTGCAGATTTATTAAAGAAAAACTGAAATATCACAGGTCATTTTGTGCTTTTGAATTTGTGACCAAAAATGCCGTTTCAGATTCAAACATTTATTGCATCTGACATGAGAAACCTGGTGTAGGTGGTTCAAAAAATTCAAATAAATACAGATACTCATGTAAAACAATCTCATAATGAAGCATTATACACAATGTACAATTCCTTTTTTTTTGTCATTCTATACATTTTTTTTTTTTTTTATAAAACACTTTCATGCAGAATATCTTGAAAAAAAAGGTAGAGCCAAAAAAGAATGAATAGTGGAGAAAGACTGCGCTTCAAAGTAAAGAGAAGGAATATACATCAACACATGTGCGAGTGTGTAAACAGATTGTGCGGCCCTCCCAAATTCAGTTTAATTGCTAAGAAACCAAAAGAGAAAGAAAAACACTTCATTATGTGTTTAAGATGTATATGTTAAAACATCGGTAAAAATCATAAAAGCCTGCTGCGAATACTAAACCGAGTCCTACACAGACTGTTTATACGTGTGCATGCAGGGGGGTCAGTAATCTGTGTCCGACCCCTCTGCGTTGTCCACATTGCGGGAGAGCATGTAGTTGTCCATGTCGATAGAACGGCAGTTATTAATAGCATAACGCAGCCGCTCCGCCATGACCGACTGGCTAGAGTAAGGTGGGAGGCGGAGCTGGAAGAAGCACGTCTGAGAGGTGGGAAGACTATCGTACGGCTGAAAAACAGCAAAAACACATGTTGGTATATAAACACACATTAGCCGCTTTTCCACCGGCTATAAATGTCCATTCATAAAAACAGACATATTCTTACCCGGTCCACCTTCATGATCTGGAATCTTTGGGATATATCAGCAGTGTTAGCTGGCAGACGGGAGCGTCCCGAGACGAAGCGCATGAAGAGGACTCTCTCCTCATTGGAGAACTCCTCCAGCGTCTGCCAGAACCACTGCATCAGCTGTTGCTGTTCGTCCACCTCCCTGTAGCGGACCACCTTCTTCAGAACCTCCACACTGATCTCCGGCAGCCCGCAGACCATCTGCTCCAGCTGCCGCGCTGTTAGTAAGGAGAGCAAGGGAACAGGCACGATCCAGGACATGCCCTCACGCACCGCCGCCACCTAATGCACGTTCAGAGGGGAACGCAACAGAAGAGATGAATAACAGGATGAGATGACAAGTCATTATCTAGGTGTGGATACACTCCCGCATATTCAAAGAAAGGATACAGTGATTTAGACACAAATGAGAGTTGAGCTGAACACACCTGGCGATCCATTTCATGCAGGCGATAGTCAATGGCATGCTCTACATACTCCTTCCTATTGGAAAAGGTCAGTGGTATGCTGTTTCCTCCGGGGATGATGGGAACCATTTTCCCATCAGCACTTTGGCCAACAAATGTGTCCAGTGGAATCATCTACATATATATAAAAAAAAGAAAAACAAATGAATAAAGAAATATACACTAAGTAATAAAGTCAAAGAAATTAAACCAATTAAAAAAGAACTTCCTATGAGTCCATGTTTTAAGTAGACATTTTAACATTTGAAATCCCCCAAGTTACTTCTGCTCATTTTCAACCTCTTTTATTTATAGAAACTAGGACATTAATAATAAATTAATTTAATACTTAAATATTTATATAAATATGATTAATTATATGTATAATACTAGTAGTAGTAATAATAATATTTATTTAAATAATAAAAATAATTCAAGTCTGTAATTGTGCAAGTTTTAATAACCATGTTCTTGATACTTAATTACCAATTAATGTATGACTTTCCTAGCCATTTATGGTTAAAGGGATTTTAAATCAGGGTTCTTGCACCCTGAGGTTTCTGGGCTGGCAGTCGGTCGTTTCACTGCACAGCACCTACATTACTGGGAAACATCAACATCCGACCCCTGGGTTCTGACGACTCTGAACAGGGGATTCACTGTGCAGTTCCGATGCCGGCCTCTAAAGTTTTCAGGGATTCTTCCGACAGTCGTCAAAGATGCAACCAGTTCAATGGCCCTTTCCATGGAAATTTGTTCGCTGTTGTTGAAAGGAGCCATAGAAAAAGTTTCCCCTCTCAGACAGAGGGACGGTTTTTACTTAACGTACTTCCTTGTTCCAAAAAAGGATGGCGGTTTCCGGCCAATTCTGGATCTTCGACGCCTCAATATGTTCCTAAAGTGTCTTCGTTTTCGAATGTTACGCACAGTTGACGTTCTTCGATCTGTGATGAAAGGAGACTGGTTTGTGAGTGTAGACTTGAGGGATGCATACTTCCATGTTCCCATTGCTCCCCACCACAGGAAGTTCATAAGATTCCGTTTTCAGGGTCAAGTCTATCAGTTCAGAGTCCTGCCATTCGGGCTGTCTCTAGCTCCTCGTGTTTTCACGAGATGCATGAATGCGGCTCAGTCTCCTCTTTGGTCCAAGGGCATGAGGATTCTGCCTTATTTGGACGATTGGCTGCTCTGTGCCCCAACGAAAGTGCACACGCTAAGCGATACCAAGATTATTCTGGATCATATATAGAAGCTAGGCCTTACTGTGAAAGAAACAAAAAGTAATTTGGTTCCGGAGCAGACCATAACCTTCATAGGGATAACACTCAATTCTGTCGCAATGTCTGCCACACTGTCTCACACTCGAACAGTCAGCATTTTTCAGTTGTTGACTTGTTTCCGTCTGGGGGCAAGGATACCTTATGGTGTCCTTTTACAACTGATGAGGATGTTAGCTGCCGCCACATCCGTGATCAGAATCAGAATCAGAATCAGAAAGAGCTTTATTGCCAAGTATGTTTGCACATACAAAAGCAGACCATAACCTTCATAGGGATAACACTCAATTCTGTCGCAATGTCTGCCACACTGTCTCACACTCGAACAGTCAGTATTTTTCAGTTGTTGACTTGTTTCCGTCTGGGGGCAAGGATACCTTATGGTGTCCTTTTACAACTGATGAGGATGTTAGCTGCCGCCACATCCGTGATCAGAATCAGAATCAGAAAGAGCTTTATTGCCAAGTATGTTTGCACATACAAGGAATTTGTTATAGTGTCACAAACTTCCAGTACACTGAGACAACAACAACACACTAATAATAAAAGTGAGATGTGAATAAAATACACATGCATAAATATAAACCACAAAAAAAAAGAA